ATAAGTATAACGTACTTTTTCCCAGGTTCTCATCAGTACTTCACTTTAATAATACTCCGAGACTCGATTCTAGTGTTAGCTTTAGAAGAAACATGGGTGGTGAGAGAATTTCCTGGGGGCTTTTAGCAATATTTTGTAAGGCATCTGCCCCAAACCACTTCAGATGTAGCCATGTGTGGCATCTCAACATGTACTATTGGACTAGTCTCCTGAATTGTGTTTTTTTTTTTACTGTTAGTGAATTAATATCTTCAGGTGGGAGGAGCTATTGACTGGGGTGGCTCAATGCAAAATAGGGGCTCAATATCCTTATCTTTATGATTATCAGCCTGTTTGTCTCCACCCCATGTTTCTGGGTCCTCTTTCTTTTCAGACACCATTCTAGGTTGAAAATTTAGCTGCCATTATAATTTAACTATTTGTATGATAAGACGATGTAGTTTTTGGCAGTGTTAGCTCTGTTACTACAAGAGTGAAATCTTTCTTTTGTGGCATGAGTGGAAGCTGTGAGATCTTTCGTGTGGCACTTGAGTCACGCTTGTGCAGTTCTCAGGTGCACTCTTTCCTTGACTACTGTTGTAAGGACCAACCGCCCAACTTTCCTTTACTTTTCATCTTGACTAAACTGCTGAAAAATATCAAACATGATCACTTAGAGCTTTGCTCCTTACAATACTTCATCAGTTGGTGGTGACACTTTGGTTATAAACTCAATGCCTCCTTACTAATAGTGGCAGATTTATCTGTACTAGCAGAAGCAGCATTCTCGGTACCCTTAGTTCTAATCAGATTTGAGAATTTAGCAAGTTCTTCTTTACCATTTTTCCCCCCTCTAGAACTACTCCCAGTACCAGTTGTAGACTGGGTTTTCTAGAGGAAAAAAACCAAGACACTTATATATGTATATAAAGAGATGGTTATGTCAGGAAACTGGTTTATATAAAAATTGTGATTCACGGAACTGAAAAGAGCTAACCAGTTCAGCTTACTTCCGTGGATCAGATAATGAGTTGAAAACCCTTCCCAACCAATTTGGTTGATGGCTAAAAGGAGCAGGATCCAAAAGGCAAGGTTGATGATTGAAAGGAGAAGAAGCTAAGGAACAGGAAGCAGAAATGCAAACCTAGGCAGTGGTAGCAGCTGTGCTCGCGGCAGTGTGGTGAGCAGTTGCAGTTGCGAGCAGCCGCAGCTGTGGTGGATGACAAAATCCACACCAAAAGGACAAAGAGAGCGAGAATGCCCCTCAATACATTTGCTTCGTAGCTTCCTCAAGGGCCCAGACCTCCAGGAAGGTATCATCAGGCTACAACCCAACCCACTCAGACTATTTTTCCATAGATATAACGAGTTGGCAGAGAAACTAACCCTGTCACATTATTCCTGGCTAAATACAGCCTTTTCATTTCATATGATCAATTGTTCTAAGGAGTGCCACCTTAGAGGCTTAAGGTTGATCCTGGGAGAGAGAGGGCAGGTACTTTAAGGGTTTGGAGTTTATGTGGTACATTAATTAGTTCCTTCTTCTTGCAACTTTGATTTTCTTGATTATACCCATGGATACTTTTACCAAAGGCAGTAAATGGCATGGAGGTTACTGGCCATATCTGGCCTTCTATGGCTTCCCAATTGCCACGTGGCAGGGGTCAGACATGCCTTTACCCTCCATCTTTCTTTACCCTACTTGGACACCAACCATTCCTCGCATGGCACTCTACTTTTATGCTAGGTTCAATAATTTGTTGCAATGGCCACATATAACTCACAGACAATGCTCACATTTAAGGGAAGTTGGGGTTTACTAGGGAAGTTAATAGGTTACCGAGTCAGGATCAACAAACAGTAAGGATATAGTTATTGGTTCACAGCACCACCTCTCTTCAGCCAGCAGCCAAGTCTTTGTTACATGGTCCCGTGGCCTTTGCCATCATGGGCCAGGAGGCCAGCCTGTGGCTCGACTTCACAATTTGGTAGTCTCAGTGCTGCTGTTCTTGTTATGCCCCACAGCCTCTGGGGCATCTGATCTGATAGCCTCTGCCCCTTCAGACTGAGATCTTGGACATGCTCATCCAATAGTCCTATGCCTTCTCTTTCTGGGTTTGATGGGTCTTATACACAGAGGAATGACTTTGATGGATGCATGGTTTTTGTCTTTTAGCCGACCATACTCCCAAGGAAAACGAAGTATGGTGTTACACCTTCTGGTAGAGTCTAGTGATGTACCCAAGGAAACACAGTGCGTGTCTTGGTTCACACCCTCTACTAAAGTTAGGTCTTAATTCCACCCCAGTCCTGATAAATAATATAATAGAGAATGCCCTTTAAAATGGGATTATAGCTACAGGCATAGAGTCTAGAATTATAATACATCACATAAGGAATTATGGCTAGAAGGGCCATATTATTTGACTACATCCCATAAACCAAATGCACTCATTGCCGTCATGTCAACTCTGACTCATAGTGACCCTATAGAACAGGATAGAACTACCCCTTTGGGTTTCTGAGACTTGAAATATGTATGGAAGAAGACAGCCTCATGTTCACCCACAGAGTGACTGGTGGGTTCAAACTCTTGACGTTGTGGTTAGCAGCTCAATTTGTAGCCCACTATGCTACTGAGCATTTCATTCAATATACTTAGGGTTGCTATGAGTGGAGCCAACTTGATGGTACCTAAAACAACAACAATAAATACATAATATAGAAATATCTTTTGTCAAACATGTATACATCTACATATGTATGTGTGTATATATATGTATATGCAACCTTATCCTCAATGTGATTTTTATATCACCGTGAATTCAAAATGCAGTATTCATAAGTCACGATCCCTGATTGTAACCACTAATGTACTTTGATTTCCAGACACTTGCCTTTTCTTGACTTTTTCTGTAGATGCGATCTTACACTATTTGTCCTTTTGTGTCTGACATATTTCACTCAGCATAGTGTTCTTAATAATATGTATCAAAATTTCATTTCTCTTATAGCTAAATAGTATTCCATTATGTATATATATCACATTTATCCAGTCATGTATTTATAGGCATTGGGTTATTTTCATATTTTGGTTATTGTGAATAGTACTTCAGTGAACATTGGTATACACATGTGTTTGAGTTCCTGTTCTCAATTCTATTGAGCATATGCTTAGGAGTGGACTTACTGAGTAAAATGGTAATTCTTTGTTTACTGTTTTGAAGAATCTCCAAACGTTTCCATAGCCGCTGCAATAGTTTGATTTCGATTTGGGGTTTTGCGTAACCATTAAATCCTTGGTCACCACAGAAATTTGCATTCACTAATTTAAGAAAAGTATCTAGAGCTTTTGTGAAATCTCAGTGTCTGAGAGTGGGTCTGTTTCAATTCCACTTCATACACGGCCGGCTCCTGAGCGGTAATTTGTACATATTATTACTCTGGGTGTTCCTTCATTACAGCTATGAAAGGAATCTGTGCAAATGAAAAGTGCTCAAGTGACTAAATATTCTAAGAGGTCTTGCTTAGAGATTTACATCTAAATAGTCTCATTTAAAAAAAATATGGAAAGATGGGAAGAACATGTTTAATTGTAATAAGATCCAAAACACACATATATGTAATCTACTTACTGACAGTAATTAAATGCTGACTCATCGCAACCCACTGAGACTGTAACTGTTTAGGGGAGTGGAAAGCCCAGTCTTTCTCCTGCAGAGTTGCTGGTGGTTTCGAACTGCCAGCCATACAGATTGCAGCCTAGTGTGTAACCATTACACCACCAGGGCTCCTGTACAGTGAACCCTTGTTTATCGCAGTTAATCGGTTCTAGACCCTACCGTGATAAATGAAATTCCACGAAGTAGGTTTCCTTATTTGTAAAGCAAATATTTTCATAGTTAGAGCATAAAGGACATGAAAAAACACCCTTTAGTCACCATTACACTCGTATTACCCAATTTATTAAACGAAAAAGGGAAAATACAGTAAAACATATTGGACGTTACAATGATCATTTATTATTTATTATATTATGGCATCAAGCGTGTACAGTATGAGCCAATCAGTGGCAGTAATGACAGCATGCGCTGTTACGCAAAAACCGCGATAGAGTGAAGTCGCGGAAGTCGAAGCGCGAAGTGGCGAGGGTTCACTGTATACTTAATATGCATATATACAAATTAACTAAAGTAAAAATAAAAATGATTTTATAATATTGTTTTCCTTTTAAAATACCTTGAAGTCTCTTGGGCCTTTCCCTCCAAGCATATTTCTCCAAAGAAGATTTAAAGGTGGCAAAAAAGCACATGAAAAAATGTTAAACATTATTAATTATTAGGTCGATGCAAACAAAAACCATATTAAGTTACCATTTCACAGGTACTAGAATGTCTATTAAAAGAAAAATGGAAAATAAGTATAGGCAAAATATTGCTTAGCTTTCTTTTATAGCTGTAATGAAGGAACACCCAGAGTAATATGTGCAAATTACCGATCAGGAGCCGGCCGTGTATGAAGTGGAGTTGAAACAGACCCACTTTCAGAGACTGAGATTTCACAGAAACTTTAAATACTTTTCTAAGTTAGTGAATGCAGGTTTCTGCGGTGGCCAAGAATTTAATAGTTACTCAAACTCAAAAAACCAAACCACTGCTATCCATTTGATTCATTCATGAGGATCCTGTTAACATTAAAAAGTAACTGCTGAATATTTGGCCCATCGCCACCTACAGCCAAGAGATGGCTTGTATTTGAATTCAGTCTTTTTATTAATCATGCCATTTTCATTAAAGCATGAGATAATGGGTTTTTCCTTTCCGTTTTCTAAATAGAAAAGAGAAGCATGGGCTAGGGGTGGGATCAGGGTGGGGGCTGACATCAGTGTTTTTGCAGTTTGGGTTAGGCTTGTTTTACAGTTAATTTTTTTTTTCTGGACTGGAAAAAAGTCCTTAAGCTCAAAGTAAGATGCTATTAATTTTTCTCTTTGATAGAAGTAACTTTTTGTATTTTTATTGCAGGCAAATTGGAATATTCCCATTGTACAGAAACAGAGGTAAGTTAAAAATATTACGATGTGTTATAAAGACTAATTCATTTTGTTGTATTATTAGTTCTGCATTACTAATAATTTTTCCTGTATTATTGTTTTTGAAACTCAGTTATCTAAATAAGGTCCAGAATCCTTAATAAGAAATTCAGTTTATTTTTAATTGTTATATGTATTTTATTTATTAAAAATAAGAACCCCTTGAAATTTGAGCAAAATGTTTATTCTGAAGTTATTCTATGTGAATATAGGGGGACCATTGTGAATACTACAAAGGCAGCATGGCTTTGCATTAGTTTTGACTGACGTTATATAGAAAGCCCAAGTCTAGTGCCTGCCTTGCAGGTAATTCTTACTCAGTGACCCAATATGAGGGGTTTACAGGAGCAGATGGTTTCATCTTTCTCCTGTAGAGTGACGGGTGGGTTTGATTCGCCAGGCTTGTGGTTACCAGCCCAACATCTACTTCGCAGCATCACGAAGACTCCTTTGGTATTGTAAGTTGTTGTTAGGTGCCAAAGAGTCTCTTCCACCCCATCCTGACCCTACTATGCACAACAGAACTAAACACTGAACTAGTGAACAACAGAACTAGTAACACCGTGTCATCCCCACAAGTGTCACTGTGCCTGAGCCCATTATTGGCCATCACCGTGTCAGTCCGTCTTGTCCACACAGTCAATTGCCTGAGCATAGGCAATAAAACTGAAGTAAACATCTTTCTGGTATTCTTTGCTTTCAGTCAAGATCCATCTGACAACAGCAGTGATAATCCTTGTTGCACATTCTCTCTTGAATCTGGTCTGAATCTTTGACGGTTCTCTGTCAATCTGTTGCTGCAACCATTGCTGGATGATCTCTAGCAAAATTTTATTTGCATTTGATGGTAATGGTATTGTTTTCTAATTTGAGCATTCTCTTGGGTGACCTTTCTTTGGTTGTTGTTAGTTGTTTTTAGGTGCCATTGAATTGGCTCTGACCCATAGAGACCCTAAGTGCGATGAATGAAACACTGCATGGTCCTGTGCCCTGCACACAGTTGTTCCTATGCCTCAGCCCATTGTTGCAGCCACTGTGTCAGTCCATCTCGTTGAGCGCCTACCTCTTTTTTGCTGCCCTTCCACTTTACCAAACATGATGTCCTTCTTCTTTACCAAACTTGATGTCTTTCTTCCGGGACTGGTCCTCCTTATGTAAGATGAAGCTTTCACATCCTTACCTCTAAGGGGCACTCTGGCCTTACTTCTTCCAAGACATACTGGTTTGTCCTTTTAGCAGTTCACGGTACATGCAATATTCTTCTCCAGCACCGTAATTCAAATGCATCGGTTCTTCTATGATCTTACTTTTTCAATGTCTTAACTTTCACATGCATATGTTGCAATGGAGAGTACTGTGGCTTGAATCAGATGTGTGCCTTACTTCTCAAACTATCATCCTTGCTTTTCAGTACTCTATAGAGGTCTTGTGCAGCAGTTTTACCTAATGCAACATGTCTTTTGATTTCTTGATTGCTACTTCCATGAGCACTGATTGTGGATTCAAGTAAGACAAAATCCTTGACAACTTCATTTTTTTCTTCATTTCTCATGATGTTACCTATTGGCCCAGTTGTGAGGATTTTGGTCTTCCTTACATTGAGTTATAATCCGTACTGAAGGCTACAATCATTTACTTTTTCAGCAGCTACTTCAGTTCCTTCACACTCAACAAGCAAGGTTATGTCGTATAACATGTTGCATGTTGTAAATAAGCCTTCCTCCCATCCTGATGCCACATTCTTCTTCATATAATCCCATTTCTCCGATGATTTGCTCAGCATACAGAATGAACATGTATGGTGAGAGGATGCAACCTTGTTGCACACCTTACCTGATTTTAAACCATGTGGTTTTCCTTTGTTCTATTCACACAACTTCCTCTTGATCCAGGTGCAAGTTCCTTATGAGCATAATGAAATGTAAGTGTTCTGGGATTCCCATTCTTCTCAAGGTTATCCACAGTTTATTATGGTTCATCTAGTCGAATGTCTTTGCATAGTCAAAGAAACACAAGTAAACATCTTTATAGTATTCTCTGTTTTAACTGCAGACCCGTCTGACATTAGCAATGATATCCATGGTTCCACACCCTCTTCTGAATCTGTCCTGACCCTCTGGCATTTCTCTGTCAATGTACTGCTGCAATCATTGTTGAATGATCTTAAGCAAAATTTTACTTGTGTGAGATATTAATGATATTATTCTAAAGTTGAGCATTCTGTTGGGTCTTGAGCACAAATACGGATCTCTTCCAGTCAGTTGGCCAAATAGTTCCAAATTTCTTGGTATAAACAAGTGAGTGAAACATTTCAATGAGTATTCTATCAATTCCTGGAGGCTTGTTTTTAATCATTTTATTGGGAGCTCTTATGGATATCATAACATTCCATAGTTAAATCGAATCAAGCAGTATTGTACAATTGCTACCGCAATCAGTTTAGAAAATTTTCTTTCTTCTTAAACTTCTTGATATCAATTCCCCTTTATCCCCTCCTTTCTCCAACCTACTCCCCAGGTACCCTTTATCTCTGTCTGTCTGTCTGTCTGTCTATCTATCTATCATTTAGCCATATCTTACACTATCCAATATATCCATTCACATACAATTCTGTTACTCGCTCCCCTTGTGTGGGGTTATGCAGTCATCAATGCTATCAGTTCTCTATTCTGTCCCTCACCTCCCACCCCAACCCATTGCCGCGTCCTCAGGGAACCATTATTACCCCTGTTATTATTTCTGAAGGGTTATCTATTTTGGCTTTCATGTATCAAATGATCTTAAATATACAAATGAAAATACACAAATCTAACATTAATGAAGCAAAACAAAAACCATAATAGTATGGGAAGGAAATATTAAAGAACTAGAGTATAGTTATGTGTTTCATCAGTGCCACACTGCACTCTGGATTTATCATCCCTTCTGGATGGCCCTTCTGAGAGGGGCTGTCCAATTATCTTACACATGGGTTTTGGGTATCCACTACATTCTTGCTCCTTCCCATTGATTTGGTTACTTGTTTTTGAACTTCTGATACCTTTTCCTAATGACACCTCCTGATCACATAGCCTGGTATGCTTCTTCCATGTGTGCTTCTTCCCTGTTATATGGCAGCTTATTTAACTATAAGCCTTTCAGATCTCAGATGCTATATTTTTCAGTAGCTTGTCACTATCAGTAGCTTTCTTCACCACATTGGCTTATGCATCCATTTTGTCTTCAGCACTCCTGTCAGGAAGGTGAGTATAATACAGTGCCACATAATTAGAACAAACTTCATACTGCTGTAAGATTTAAGCCCAGAGTCCATCTGCTTTCCTTTTGTATTTGCATATAAATGCATATACAAAAATACCTATATTTATATACTTACATGTATACATATATCTTTTTTACTTCTTTCCTCTTTTTCTTTTCCCCTCCACTGTCATGTCTATCTGTCATTCACCTCTCAGTAATTCCACTCAGATACAATTCAATTGATCAAATATGACGAGAAAAGGTACACCCTCTTCCCCATCAATATTAGAACCTTCACTGTTCTCCTGTACCCATCATTATTGGCTCATCACCCACCTCCTCCCTTCCCATACCCCCCAGGAACCGTTGATCCAGTTGCTGTCTCTGTAAGATTGCCTATCCTGCCTATCTTGCATAGAATAGTACTCCCCACAAAGAGAAAAGAAAGAACATACAGATAGTCAAAAGTCTTAACAGGGAATCTGACACAGAGCAGATGAATATCTCTCTGTTAACTAGAGAGAAGGACCTATTATAATACAATAGTCCAGTCACCTTTACTTCCAGGGTTCCATATCCCAGGTCCTGCTTACCTAACAAAACCTACACCTATGCTTCAGTATTGAAGCACTTGGGATATATAGGATCATATCATTTGCAAATGGAGTGTCGCTTCTTTGCTGATTGTATTCCCTAGTTCTTTTTGTTGTCTGATGTTTCTAACTAAGACTTCTAGTAGAATGTTGATTTAGTGTGGTGATAGGGAGCATCCTTGTCTGGTCCCTGTTTTCAGGGAAAATATTTATAGTTTTTCCTTCTTGAATGTGATGTTGGCTGTATGAGTTTCTTTCTTTTAAAAAAATCATTTTAGTGGGGGCTCATACACCTCTTATCATAATCCACCCATCCATCCATTGTGTCAAGTACATTTGTACATTTGTTGCCACCATCATTTTCAAGACATTTTCTTTGTACTTGAGCCCTTGGTATCAGCTCCTCATTTTTCC